ACTAGCCACCAACAACAGTCTGTCGCATGTAGATGGTGTCAGGGCACGGCTCCCACACTCGCCTCATGTCTCATTGTTCTCTTTTTCTGCTTCCGCTTCTGTCCCATTTCGTTCATTTCCCCTAATACTTCCATCTCCCTATTCGGTCGCGCTCTCCCGCGCCCTCCTAGGCTTCCCGCGCCCTCCTTTTGGCATCTCCCCTATTTTGTTCCGTCGCTCGGCGCTCCTAGGGCCTCCGCACTCGCGCGGCCTTCCTAGGCCGGTCCACCGGTCACGTGTCGGGCGCCCGAGGACCCTCCCCTTCTCTCATTGGACCATCTTTCGTTGCGTTGATGGATTACTCATCTACTATATAGTCGCCTGTCGCACCAGGGAGCAACCCAGACTTGTTCTCTCAGTTGCCTCCCTGCCTTGTGCGACAGGTATGTGTATTTCCCCTCGTATCTTCTCTCAGTTGCCTCCCTGCCTTTCCACCGCCGTCCTGGGGGATCCGCGCCGCTCCTAGGAGCTCCAGCGCGTACTCTGACAGATGGCTCTCCGATATGCGTTACAAAACCAATCCTGCCCCTCTTCCGAATTATGCCGACCCAAGCGATCAGGAGGAGGACCCACCTCACGCTCACTTGGACGATCCACAAAATTACAGACCCAACACGGGCTCAGAAGATGACGAGGGTCCCCGTGACGGCATTCAGCAGACTCAATCGATGAACTCCCTGGAAACCCCCCATGGATGGAATTGGAGTTCTCGATTGTACACGAAACATACGGTGCAGTGTCCCAGAAGCTACGCTTCTGCGATCCATTAGAGTGTATCAAGGCTCTCTACGCGAACCCAGACTTCACGGATCATATGAGTTATGCACCCGTGCGGGACTTCTGCAACGAGGAGAAGACGCAACACATGTACAGCGAGATGAACACAGGGGACTGGTGGTGGGAGACCCAGGTAAGATTCGCCCTTGTTTCTGTCGCATATTCGGGTCTCATAATGAGCTAGGCAAAGCTGCCGGACGGTGCGACTACTGTTCCAGTGATCTTAAGCTCAGACAAGACCCAATTATTGACCTTCAACAGTGATCAACAAGTTCATCCAGTCTATCTTTCGATAGGCAACATCTCAAAGGATATCCGCCAGAAACCTTCGTACCGCGCGCAAGTTCTGATCGCATATCTACCAATCATCGATGTATTGCACCTCCCCAGTGAAGCTGCCCGCGTGATGTGGGCATGCTCATTTTATGCTGCCATGCGAGTCGTACTCCAATCGCTCGAGGACCCGGGCAAGAACGGCATAGAGCTTACCAGCAGGGATGGTGCTGTGCGCCTTGCATTCCCAATTGTCGCAGTTTATGTTGCCGACCATCTGGAGCAAACTCTTGTCTGTTGCACCCGGTTTGGCCAGCAATGTCCGAAGTGCTCAGCAACCACTGTTGAGTTCACCAAACATCGTCTCGCATCCTGGTCTCTTCGGAAGCAAACCAACACGCTGAGGACCCTTCAACACGCGCAGACGCTGGGGTCGTATCGCCAGACAGAGGAAGCTCTCAAGGCTGCAGGATTGACCCTTGTCGAGGATCTGTCAGGGCACGGCTCCCACACTTGCCTCATGTCCCATTGTTTCCCATTCTGCTTCCGCTTCTGTCCCATTTTGTTCATTTCCCCTAATACTTCTCTCCCTATTCTGTCACACTCTCCTGCACCCTCCTAGGCTTCCCGCGCCCTCCTAGGTTTCCTGCACCCTCCTTTTGGCATCTTCCCTATTTCGTTCTGTCGCTCAGCACTCCTAGGGCCTCTGCACCCCGCGCGGCCTTCCTAGGCCATTCCACTGGTCACATGTCGGGCACCCGAGGACCCTCCCCTTCTCTCATTGGACCATCTTTCATTGCGCTGATGGATTATTCAGCTACTATATAGTCGCCTGTCGCACCAGGGAGCAACCCAGACTTGTTCTCTCAGTTGCCTCCCTGCCTTGTGCGACAGGTATGTGTATTCTCCCTTGTATCTTCGTGTATATACTCAGTTGCCTCCCTGCCTTGTGCGACAGTGTCTCCACCGCCGTCCCGGGGGATCCGCGCCACTCCTAGGAGCTCCAGCACGTACTCTGACAGGATCCCTTTTAGGCCCACCTGCCGCATTGTAATATCCACGCAGCGATCTCAGCCGATGTGCTGCATCATCTCTACCAGGGCATGCTTATGCACCTGATAGATTGGCTGACATCCCTCATTGGTGCGGCGGAACTCAATGCTCGCCTTAAACGCTTGCCAGCAATGCATGGCATTCGACATTTCGCAAATGGCATTAGTGGTTTAACGCAGGTCTCCGGTCCCGAACAAAAGCAAATGGTCAGACAACTTCTTGGTTGCGTTGTTGGAACGATTAGCCCCCACGCACTGCGCGCAACCCGTTCTTTATTCGACTTCATCTTCATTGCACAGTATATTAGCCATTCAGATGATACCCTTCAATACCTCGACAACGCACTTGCAGAGTTTCACATGAACAAACAAGTGTTTATCGATGAAAGTGCACGAACCTGTTCGTACTTCGTTACTCGCCTCGACATATTCTAACATTGTGCGTTATTTCAGTGCCTCACTTCAATATCCCAAAGTTACACATGCTGTTTTATTATGTCCCAGGGATCTGTGCCGTCGGTACAACAGACAACACGAACACTGAGGTCCCAGAACGGCTTCATATCGATAACGCAAAACGTGCATACGATGCTACAAATAAGAAGCATGACTATGTCAAACAGATGACTCGGTGGCTCAAACGTTACGAGAAGGTGGTGCTTCTCGACGTACATATCCGGTGGTACGCAAACGAACTTCCGCCGCCGCCACGAATTCGCTCTCGACAAACGACTGTCCTCCCACCTGGTCCCAAGCTATCAAAGTTTCCGCATGTGAAGTCCATTGCGTTCGGTCGCCTAGCAGCCGATTACCATGCCCCGCAGTTTCTCCATGCTCTTCAGATGCTTATCGCCATCTCACGTTGTTCGACCGAGCATCAGCGTATATCTGCTCGTCGCCGGAACCACGACCATCTTCCCATACCCTTCAATTGGGTTGAGATATGGCACCATGCTACGTTTGTTGTGCCTAATGTCCAAGTTGACGGAGCACCGTGCTTGGTGTTGTCTCCCGTTGCCAACCCCTCCGGTGGGAGAGACAGATCGGGTCGCTTCGACACCGTCCTTGTTGATGTTGCCGGTGCCGACGACACGGGCATTGAAGGCCTTGGTATAGCATGTGTCCGTGCTTTCTTCAGGATCCCCGAGCAGTTCACGGCGGTAATGTTTACTAACCATGGGGTGTCGCCGCCGGGACACCTGGCATTTGTGGAGTGGTATACGCCACCGTCGTCCAAGGGTCGCGACCATCAGATGTATACAGTTACGCAGAAGCGAGGGCGGCCGAAGGTGGAGATCATTGAGGTCTCTAAGATCCAGAGGAACTGCCAGCTGTTCCCGATATTTGGGAACAAAGCTGACAGGTCATGGTCATCCACGAATGTCCTTGACCGCTGTGAGAGGTTTCTAGTAAATAATTTTCAAGATCAGCATGCTTATCAGACACTGTGGTAGTGCTTTTATATTGTAGATTACTGGGCTATAGACAGTTTCTGTTCTATGCATAAGGCTCATTCCCATAGGGGAGAAGTGCTATACTCATAAGCAGCTGCATTGTGCCACACTGAACTAATATGGAGGCTCCCTATAGCAACTAACAGATCTATCCAGATACATACTTAAACTATAGACTCTATGGCATGTGGCCCTATCAGCTATCTATGCTATACACTTGGTGAACTAAAGCTATACTAGCTATGGCCACTATAACACACTTCATAGCAGTGGTCTTATTCTTTATGTTGCATCTTATCAGGTGTATGTGAATGAACAGGCAGACACAACCCTCTGCCTCACTGGGGTTTATTTTTTATTTTTAATTCAATTGCACATGCCCTGGGCTACCTTAGGGTAGGCTTACCTCAACCTTGGGGGGGATGTGATGTGGTGAGGACATTGTCAGCAGACATGCCTGGGAAGCAGCTAGCAGTGATTAAAAAAATAAAATGAAAAAACGCGATATAGTGGACACCTCTACTCACCCCTGAAGTGCGTTTGAGCACATTTGGCCCTAACAGAGGGGATTGCCTACAGTATGGAAGTGGGGTGTGCAGAGGTCCATGGATGGTGAGGCTGCAGACATGACCCTCAGTGTCTGCAGTGCAGCCAGAGCAAAGAGGAGGTCCTTTCCCCTGTCATTTTTTGGGGGAGAGGAATGCAAGGCCTAACCCTCCTTGAGGGGGAGCCTTGGAGCTGGGACCACCGTATTGGCCAGGGTGGACCCTGATCCAAGGCT